ATGTGTGAGTGTGTGTGTGAGTATGTGTGTGAGTGTGTATGTGTGTGAGTGTGTGTGTGTGTGTGTGTGTGTGTGTGTGTGTGTGTACCATGAAAATCAGAGTACAACTTACAAGAGCCAGTCCTTTCCTTCCTCACGTGGGTCCCAGGTCTGGAACTCATGTCATCAGGCCCAGCAGCAAGCTCCTGTCTCACTGAGGTGTGGAGGTGTGCCAGCCCTCAGTGAGTGCGCGTGCTATGGAAAGGTCTCAAAGCTCAGACTGTCGGACGGGACTGCTTCAAGTCACTTCGCTTTTCACTCTAGAACCTCAGACTTTTATTATTATTATTATTATTATTATTATTATTATTTGACTTTTGGTGCTGAAGGCTTTGCATGTGCTAGAGACAGGCCCTGCCACTGTGCTGTAACCACCTCCATGCACAAACGTGCAGACACACACACACACCCTCGCACACACACCTCTACTAGGATCTCCATACTCTAATTCATACTGTTGCAATATTTTACAGCAACACGTTTTAGTGTTTTTAACACACCTAAATCATCCTAAAATTGTGGATAATAGGAACAGACACAGGAGGAGCTGAGTTTAGACTCTAGACTATTGGTTTTGGGTCTGATACGACGGGTTATCACGAAGCATGACGTTAAAGTGGAGGGGGCAGTTAAGAGCACTTGCTACTCACGCAGAGGACCCGGGTTCCATTCCCAGCGCCCACGTGGTGGCTTGCAACCCCCTGTAACTCCACTCCAGGGGATCTGGCTGGTGCCTTTTTCTGGCCTCTACAGACGCCAGGCACAGACATGGTGCAGGCACAAATACCAAACACATTTAAAAAAAGAAAAAGAAAGAAAGAAAAAGGGGAAAGGTGGTTAATAGGAATCCTTGTTGCCTGAGATAACCCTTGAATTCTAGGCGTGAAGGAGCCTGTGGAGAAAATAACACATGTTGAAGCATTTCCAGAGGCAGCTGCCCTGACATTGCAGACCCCCCCACACACACACTCCCCTTCCTCCCTGGAGAGGTGTGGGTGGACCCCCTGCCTGGGAGAAGAGGGGAGGTGTGGGTGGACCCCTGCCTGGGAGAAGAGGGGAGGTGTGGGTGGACCCCATGCCTGGGAGAAGAGGGGAGGTGTGGGTGGACCCCCGCCTGAAAGGTTCTCGCCTCCCCCGTTTCCGCTGCAAGGGAAGCCTCTGGAGGTCATGAGGCAGACCCAGAGCACAGGCAGACCCACCGAGAGGAACCGTCTGTGACTAACCCCACCAACACGACGGGCCTCCCTGAAATGCAGAGGAAGTGGGCTCAGGAGGGATGAAAAGCAGGCTGGCCAGCTGCAGAATGTGGGGAGGCTAACAAGGCCACCCCGGGAGGGCGGGAGTGCGGCCTTCAGGCCGGAAGCAGCCCTATCGCCCCCCTCACCCTGACCGCTCCTTGCTTCTCACACAGAGGGGGCCACAGCCAGCGAGTACAAAGCTCTGATGACGGAACTCAAGATCTTGACTCACATCGGCCATCATCTGAACGTGGTGAACCTCCTGGGAGCCTGCACCAAGCAAGGAGGTGAAAGAGAAAAGGGGGGTCCTGGCCTGTGCACAAGCTGGAGGGGGGCTCTCAACTCACACAGCTCCCTCCCCTCACCCCTGAGGAAATGGCCTTGTAGGTCTCTTCACCCCCCCCCCCATTCTAGGTCAAATGGCGCCTTGTTCCTTTAGCATGACTTGGGGGAGTGGGACTATGGTCTGAGAGGCTACATCCTCCCGCAGCCTCACTGCAACCACAACTGGTGAAATCCCAAGAGGAGGTGACATGGGGATCCACCAGAAGGGCCCCTCCCTTCCCATCAGCCACCCGGACAGGCCTTAGCCGCGGGACAAGGAACAGGAGCAGGGCTGTGCTGTAGACCGTTGGGCCCAAGCATGCCCTCACTGAGTTCTCTCCCTCTATGGCAAGGTTGGCACTTGAGTGTAGATGTGAACAGATGTTTAAGTCAGGAAGGTGCTGGGGAGTTGTACACAAAAGGTCTTCAGTTTCCCAACACAGAAAACAGAGGTGGAGGAACAGAGGTAAGAAAAGGAGGTCGTGAGTAGGAAGAAGAGCTAAGGGAGGCCATAACTAGAGAGTCCTAGTGAGCCAGACAAGGGCCCCATAGCTTCTAACCTTGAATGAGCCTTCTTCGGGCATCTGTCTGCCTCAACGCTGTACCTATAAGATGTAAGCCCCTGAGACTGAGCAGCTGGACCTGGCCAGGTCTGCTTTTTGGTGGGGAGACCCCAGCTCTTGAAGAACTTCCTTTCTGGGACCCTGAGGGACAAGGGGGTGCTGTCAGAATTCAAAAGCAGGAAAGTACTAATAGTAACGGAAAAACCACTTTCCCGGAGGGACAAGGTCCACCCCCGGTGAGGCTCCAAGGCGCAACAGGTACCTGCTTGGTACTGTCCTCACAGAGGCCTGGAGTTTGTTGGTAACGAGCTGCTAGACTTCATGGGTCATACCTACTTCGACCTGGAAGTAGCCCTGTGCTGCTGGGGACCAGTACAATGGAGGCATCCATGGTGCCGCCTGAGACCGTCAGTGCAGTGGGTAGAGAGCAAGCAGCCTGTGTGCTCGGAACAAAATAGTCAGGATGGGGAAAAAAGAGAGAAAATAATGTTTTGTGGCATGACAGTTAAATGTCTGTGTCCATAAAACTTTATTGGAGCAGGGCCATGTTCTTGGTTATATTCACAAGGGCCGTTTCCATGCTACGGAGGCTGAACTGAGTCGTTGATTCATGGCCTCCCAGTTGCACTCTTAGGCCCTACACATATGAAAACAGGTTGGTCTGAGGTCTCGCGGGCTGCCTGGAAGACCTGGCATGGTTGAGCATGTGCCGTTTGGACCGCAGGGCCTCTGATGGTGATCGTGGAGTACTGCAAATACGGAAATCTGTCCAACTACCTCAAGAGCAAGCGGGACTTCTTCTTCCTCAACAAGGTAAGGGTTTGTCCTCCGGTGGCTGGGGCTTCTGGGTCCTGATCATCCCAGTCCATCACTGAGGGAAGCCAGGGCAGGACCCAGCAAGGATGACAGAGGAGCACTGCTCACTGGTTCACACACACACACACACACACACACACACACACGCACGCACGCACACACACACACACACA